CTCAGACCACGTCTATTTGAATCTACTCATTTACTTGCTCCTGTGGAGCAGGTTATATCGGTCGCATGAGTCGGCGTATGGCTGGCCAAAGGTAAATTCAGAAGCATTAACAGCACCGTCCTTGCCCACATGGCTGACTCCAGGAATCGTGTGGACCCCAGCGAATCCTTTAAGGTAATTTATAAGGTCCCGCCAAACTACCCAAAGTCCCTGGGTCAGCGTTTGCTAGCGACAGCAGAAGCAACCGCGATCCGGTTAAGGAAGCCGGTTTTGTGCGCGCAAAATAACCTCCTGCAAGCCCCGAGCTTGGTATGACCAACGGTTATATAACTGCCTGCATCTTTGCGCGCTTTCTCCCCCTCCGCCCTCCCCCTGTCCGGATTCAACAAACCCTCATGGCCTCGCAACCAGAGGAGTACTATCAACCCCACCCCTCCCCTATTCCCGATACTAATGTGCCTGTAATGATGAACATACTTGCCAGCAGGTTACTTTTTACCCCCTCCCTATATAAATGTAATGGTCCGAGGAGAATTTATCGAAAGCCATTTATGCTCGCTAGATATCCTTCTGAATTATCTGATGTAAATTTTTGCAAATTTAATTACTTAACAGTCTGACTGGACATGCTATAGACAGACTATGCAGCAACAATAGAAACCCCAGCAACGCAGGCAATGTTATCAGCCAATCATGAATCTCTGTTCACAGTATACGAATAACCACCTTAATGACGTACATATTATATCCTCCCCAACGGCAAAAAATATCGAGATGGCAGAACTCAGCTGAATTCGGAGGGTTTTTTTAAACGTTAATAACTCACTCATTTAGTAATGGTGACATAAAGATGTAAAAAATATAATCCTAAGTGTCCATTTCCCAGGAGAACTGAGGAAAGTAAGTAGTGGACACGCAGCCTTATTTCCAAAACGATGTGCATACCATATGGAAACAGAAGAGGACGATCAAACGTCACAAGGTAAATAGTAAACTGATTGAGTCGTATGTACTGACCTGGTGAAACCGAAGGAGCAGGAGGTTTAAGAAATATCTGTCGACCATCAGGAAAGTGTGGTATTAATAAAACGATTCGGTTGTTTGCATAGCTCTTACGTGTTTGAGGATTCGAAAAATCGGCTTTCACTTAGTGATGTGGGTAGTGCGCTCTTGGCTTTTGTCCCTGTATTCATTTGGCTTCTGAATTCTGCAGCCCCTGTGGTAAGCGTTCGACCGGCGAAGCTGCTGGCCCCTGAATGCACTGACTTCACGCGCAGTTATCTTCTCTTTCAAAGGACAGTAATGACCAAAACGTGACCTAGAATAAGCTAGCTGTAAAGAAGTTAAGTGAAAAATAATCACGCCAGTCCCTAATCCAGGTTGATATTCAATTTGTCGAAATGCGTGCGCATATGTAATGAAACAACGATTTTGGTTTGCGGCACGCTGGCGTAGATGGGAACGTGTCTGTTATTTACTATCAAATTCGTCAGCACGGAAGACTCTTTTCGATCGTACACAGTCATTCCCCGCATCATGAAAATATTACATTTTCAATCCCTTGTCATTAACAAGCGGAAAGTTCAGACTACTATCTAAAGGTTATCGTACCACGCGAGTCACATTACACATGCTTCCACTATCTCCTGATACGCACTTCATTGAACATGTAAACTGTGCATGAGCCCTTAGTAAAATACCATGTTCATTAGCATGAATTTGAAGAGTACTCAAAAGCTAAAATTCATCAGACTGGTCAAAATAATCTGACTTAAAATTAGAGGTGGCAGTCCAGACAACGCAGACGGGACGCATATTTGACACCTCCGTTGTGAGATAGGGGGTGGCTAGCACGCGCCAGATAAGCTCCAAGAAATTTTTCCGTCAATTGACTGTTCAGCCAATTGGTGAAATTATTGCCTTATGCCCTATCTGCTTTTCTCGAACCTCCTCAACATTTAGGCAGATAGTATTGCCGTTGAAGACAAGAGAAAATGGAATGGCCACTTCTGGCCCATTAGCCGTCGTCAGCCAGTCATACCCAGCTCCAAGTGGTACACCACCCGAGGCTCGAACTCGCAACCATTTCGATCAAAATTCTAACGCTCTAACCATTGAGCCACGAGCTCGTTGTCTTGCCGGCTTAGATTGCGAGATATTGACACTCGTTGATGAACTTTCACCTATCGCTAACGAAACTCACTCGGCTCGATCTGCTTTGGGGCTCATTTTCGAGCTCGTCAGCAGCCACACAGCGTATAGTAGTCTAGACAGATAGCATTGCCGGCAAAGACAAGAGAGACCGGAATGGAACAAGAACAGACTGTAGTTTTGCCTTCTCAGTGTGGTGTTTATGGCATCACTCACTTATGTGCTATCCGAACAATACACGGCAGCTTCAAGTAATTTCGCCGACTTTGCCCAATATTATCAGCAAGCCGGTGGACTTGGGGCAGCCGAGGGGGAAGAGGGAGAGTGAGGTTGACCCAGTTCCGATTCGGCATTTAAACCACAACTGTAAACAACCAAGCACACTTTAAACTTACTCCTGCGTGACAGGCGGACGTGTTTTATCATAGGAAATCCAGGGCTTAGCTGGGATTTCTCTTGTTTTCACATTATTTCACCAACTGCATCTTCTGATGACGGTTCTAGAAACAAGTTTTTAGTAAAGGCGTATTTGGTCTGCACAGTTATAAAACAATTGCACAAGGGGGTAAAGTTATAACGAAGGGGACTAATTTGCTAGGATGGTGCAGATAGGAAAGCGTTGAGAGACTCGGGTTCACATGCCACTGTCGCCGGGTAACTGGGAGCAATCGTTCAGTCAGTTTACCTGTGGGCGACTGAGTAATTTGAAACATCTAACTTTTCGTATGACTATGCAGGCCTGCTGGCATGTATTCGCTTAATCAATTAATAGAACTATTCATGAGATTATATCTTTGTCTACCTTTACAGGTCTCAGAGTGAATGAAAGAGTTTTCTCGAGGAACACTATTTTCTCGGACAACAAGTGGCCTTTGTGTGGTTTCTCTCCTGGTCGTCGGAATAAAGGTGAGACGCTTTAACTACTTTTCCTGTCGTGCGTGACGACTGCTTTCGACCTCACAGCTAATGAATAGTTAAGATTATTTATTGATTAAGTCTGTCATTATCGCTCTGACGCTGCTGAAAGTTCGTGCTTAAATTTCTGAGCAGTCTTGAGGCGACATTTTTTTTACTTCAACATAAGTTACTACAGTGGTAGCATGTCGACTTGCTGTTAAAAAACCGAAGTAAGCTCTCACCGTACCTAATGGTCTTACAATGTCAAAACCAGCTGATAGGTCGCAGAAAATGGTAATTTCGACCGCTATCTTGCCATGCACGCCAGGACCGGAAATCCGTGCTGGCTGTGTGTAGGAGTTGCTAGGTGACATCGTCTGCTTTTCTCAACCAATCAGCAGGGACTAAGACCGTTAGGGCTGAAAGAATGCTGACTATGGAACTTGTGCGTAGGCATTAGCATCTCACAGGGCGCCAGCTCATGGACGACTTCTATGGAGACGGTTGCAGACTGGCTGCCCGAGAAAACTGCACAAAGAATCGAGGCGAACCCCAGTTGTGGTTCATGCACAAGGCAGACTTTCGAGAAGGCCAGCACGCACCTCGAATAAGACCTGAGGCCAAAGAAATCGTCGAGAAAAACTCTGTGCACGTATCGACTGCCTGTCTGGCGGGCTTTGCTGATCGCAATGGAGACTCGAATAAAGTGCAGGACGAAGTGGCCTCTGCGTCACACCAACGACTACGCACTGCTGAGGCGAACACAATAGCCAGTAAAATAAGGAATCCCCAGGAAGAATGGTTCGACTTCGAGGGGAATCAGAAGCTACAACTGAAACCAAAACCTCCGCGTGTAGGAGCTAGCAAAATTGCAGCGGTAAGACTCTAAGAATTTTGGCTCAGTTGTAGCTATGAAACACATAGATCAGGATACTTTATCTGTGTCATTTAAATTTGTGTAAAACCGAGAAAACTACTTGAATTAAATGTATTTTCAATCCCATTTAGGGGAGGGACGCATATTAGCTACGATAATAGTGGGGAATGTACGCATTGGCAGTCGACGCTTTGGATATTGCATTAAATGCAGCACAGGAGTAACGTACTTTAAATTCGCATAGGATTGGTATTTACTGGTTTGCAATATTTGCAGGACGGAAGACGGCAGTTCAACTGTGTCTTTTATCTCCATATTTTGTTCTACAGCAGGCCAGATAGGTGAACGCCGGGCCAATCCAAATTTCAGTAATTCTCATTGCAGCTGATAGAGACCAAATACTCGGTTTTGCTAAAAGAAGAGAAACATAACTGATCAAGTGGGTGCGGGTTCCAACCATAAGTGTTTATGGCTCTTTCTTGGGTAAGGGTGCCTTGTATGGCTACTTAAACAGGACACTGAAATAGGAACACCCTGTCCACTTGAAATAGGCGGTCTTGTGGTAAATTCCATCATTCCATGTCTAAACCCTACCAAAACCCCTAGCATAAAACTAAGCCATAAACGAAATCTTAGCCGTGGCCTTACCCTAAATCTAAAACGTTTATTTAACATAAACCCAAACCTTAACTCTGACCTTAACCTCAACTTTAAACCTAACCCTAACTCTCCCCTGAGTCCTAAAAATATTTTCTCTGGCAATTCCTTTGCCTATGTTTTGTCCTGACGGCCTTAAAAGTTTTACTTACCCATTTTTGTGCTACAGAAGGCTGATGACAGCAGACAAGTCCGAAATGGCCTTGTCAGTAACGAGTTCAACGAGTCTGCATAATCTGAAGGACCAAGCTAGATACAAAATTTAACAGGAACAAAGGTGTTTACGAATGCGTTAATGGGGTAAGGAGATATCCAGCGAATAAGCATACCATTCCAGAACTTAAATGAAGCTTTTTTCTTTGTCTTGGAACTGATAACCTGCAGCCTACGCAAGTGGTCGCATGCCGACTATCAACCAGTAATTAGCGAGTTCGACAGACAGAGACAGGGCATGATGGTAATCCTTGTTTAGCTACCGTCAGCAGCACCCTCAAATTAATCTCTAGTACAAAATATGTCACTTGTTTTGCTCTTTTCTGTTATTAAAGTGGCTTTTAAATGCTTAGAGTGCGAACGCCAGTGCCGCAACACACGCACTGAATTGCAGTAGTTTGCTTCACATTGAAGGAATTTATGCGACAGCAGAACAGGGGTTCGGACTGGTTCACACCTATCAATAAACCAATCAGCATTCGCGGCGTCCTGCGTATGCGCTCGAAGTCGAGTACTGCGGCCGATCTTCGTGCCTCCTCAGCCTCCAATTGTCTCGCGCACCCCTCTCAGGCAGCCAGTACATGTATGGAGGGAGAAAACAATCTTCCCAACGGCGCCCTCAGAAAGAACATGCGTCGTGTTCGCGAAGAGGGACTAGAATACGCTGAACGGAATCGCGTAAGTGACGAATTGAGTTGATTCAATCCCTACATACCCAAAAGTGCTTGGCAGTTGCTGTGTTGCGTCTCTTCGCAGCTGGAAAATCAATTTTTAGTTTAAAAAAGATAAACATACAGTCAATAAGGCTGAAAATTGCAAAAATAAAACGGAAAAAGAGTTCTGAGTGGTGATTTATGTCAAGTAATGCGACAAAAAGGATATATGCTTCATGTTTCCTATTTCAAAAAGGGTCTATGAGATATAACTGCATGTGCTTTGTCAGCTAAAAGGTTTATTTTCGGTCGAAAGGTGACGCCCTACATACGTACCCGACTGTCTTTATTGTGAACCCCGAATCCTATTAACATCTAACCGTTTGTTTTCCAATACCCTTCACTAGTGCTCTATTAACGGTAAGACTGCGCGGTCGCAGAATTTAAGACTTAAAGCGGATAATACGGTGGGACGTATTTTTAGGCAGTCTTCATTGTAGAAGAGGATAGAACAGAGAGCAACCCGCAGAAATTACGCCTAGGGAACATAATTGAAGTGCCAAGGTTATTTATTATAAAAAAACTTTTGCGCACTGACATTGTCGCTTTAAGTAAAGCTCACAACAAACGACTATGGAGGCTTGCACACATATGCTTTCTTTATAGTGTGTCGTATACTAAGTAGGAAACTCTCTCACTTGCTTTCGCAAACCCTTTCATCTTTTACTGTCATCAAAGTTAAGAGCATGCAATAATCCCGATTTCCTGTCCAGAGCGTGAACAATGGTTGCTAATACCTCGTCAGGTTACCTGGGCAACTTGTCAATTGAAGGTGCAGACTGCAGCAATAACCTATTTCGCCTGGCATAATAGCAACAAGTCATCAAGTTGATTTTGCGGTGGGCGTAGGAAATTACAATTTCAAGTGACTCAGCAGTGGTAGGCAACATGTGTTAGCTGAATACAGCTGAAGGCATGCATTCCTGTTATCATGGAAGAGTAAAAAATCTTATTTTTCTGTGTGAATTGGACGACATAGAAACGAAAATGCGCTTTAAGAAGACCTTAAACGATAGGTTTCTTCAAAAAAAGACACCTGATATCATGAATCCTCCAGTTCTATTTACAGTGGTAGCGTTTATGGTAAAAATTTAAATATCAGCTTCTGATTTGCTGTCAAGCCAATTGAAGCCTACAAGATCTACTGTGTTCTTTAGGGTACTGGTGAAGGGTATCAAGAGGAGTTCGTGCATTACCAACACCCATTCTTGGTTTTTTCTATAAGAGGACCTTTTAGTTAGTATATTGTGTATTCATTATACGGAGACGTTAACTGTGTTGTGTAAAAGTGCACCTATTTTAATACCTACAGTCCTGGTGGATCCCCAACTAAATATGTTCCAATACTGTCCAGCTGTCATCAAACTCATTCGAATTTTCAAATGTTTCAGAACCAAATTTAGGAACTTGCTCCTCAATCAAGGCATAATAAAAGGTTGGGTTGTTGACTTGTAAGTAAGGAAATTAGAATCACGAAAAAAATCAACTACTTAGAGGCTGGATGCGTTTTCTGTTTAGTCTTGGGGTCTACTACAGAACAAAATCTTTTATAGAAGAGGGAAATCTGGGGCAGAAATTATACTCGTCAGCTCTGAAGATTGTGTAAACTGCGGATTATCGTAATAAAAAGGTAATATAGCAAAATCAAAGGAAGGACAGTGCAATCGAAATCAGGATTATTAGGAGCAGAATCTTGATGCTAACAGTGTTCTGATTATGTATACAATGTAACCTCGGTTTTAATCCGTTCCAACACCGAGCTCGTCATGTCAAATGTAGCCAATCAAACTGCACCAATCCACTGACTAGCCGCAGGCGACTGAAAACCCACGCGGACACAGACATATACACGCACGCGCTGACAGCTAATTAAGTGAGCAGGAGCCCGTCAAACGAAACGACTTTTCTACGAGTGGTTTGGTCGTTACCTAGAATGCGCGTAGAGTCTCCACTGTACTTGAAAAAATAATCGGGGAACGCAAAAACCTTTAATCACTTACTTCGTTTCCGTCGCAAAACAGCTTGGAGAACTGTGGTCAAAAAATTAATATTTTAGAGCCACTATAAATGAATGCAAAGAAAAGGTGATTAACTTTCAAAAAATTATTTTACTTTCTTTCGAGGCCTCATGATTTACTCTTTTTAGCAGTATTATTAAAATAAAAACCTTGGAACTTTAAGGTCCATTAGAAGTTAAGAGTGTACAAACCCTTTATGACTTTGAAAAGCACCTACGTTTGCATCGTAAAACAACCATATACAGGGTCAAGATGACCTCTTCAAGACAGTGGAGGTGCCCTGCGAACCGCAAACTGG